AAAAACTGAAAGAAAACATGGCTTACCTCGCAAGGTGCTTACCTATTTTCCCAGTGGGAATGCTTACACATTGAGAAGTTAGCTTACTGCCAATATAGAAGTATTACAAATATGCCATACGCCAGTAATTGTAAGCTGTCGTAAAAAAATGTGCAAGGTCGGTCCAGTTCTCTTCTCCAACATCAGATTAAAGAAATCACACGAAAGGGAGTCACCTTATCTGAAACCTCATTTGGTAAACCCGCTTTAGCTACAGAACACGTATATGTCCGTGAGTTGCGCGGATTGATCTCAATAAAGTCTTTTTATTTCAACAACAAAATAACTGATTTTGGACATTTACGGTTTCCAAACACCGATTCAATTACTCTTCATTTATTATTGTAAGTATTTACAATGTGTGTGAGTAAAAGCGGTTTACCTGATTTTGGTTCCAAACTTTTCAAATAAACTAAAATCTTTCTATTTATTGCTAAAATTATGACTATATTATATATGGACTTCCTATAGTATAAAAAGCCCTCTTTCAGTCTAGATGGTAGGTACATTAAGAAACAGCTGTCGTTAAATCTTTCCAAACCCACTTTAAATGGTTGAATTTATTTCATTCCGAAAATGATTACAGGAAACACTTTACATGCCCTTCGTTTTCTCATTTAAATGCAAGTGAAAAATATTTACTAATTAAGTATACGAACGTTGTTGTAAAATGTGTACAAATAAATTTCCTGTTTGCTTGATTCACAATCAAAGGAATGCTATAATGCTGACAATGCTCCTAAAGTTTCATCTCATATTACATTTATTAAATACATCGAGTTTAATCTTACTTTTTATACATTAAAAATAACATTTCCGGAGAATACCTCTCTACATCTCAGTAAAATGTATGTACGTGTAAGAGCGCTATCTTATTCTTTTAATGAGCGTTTTTTAAAGCTCATCATGCGGGCGCGTGTCAGCGGAAAAGACACCGTCGCAAGCAGCTGGCGTTTCGAAAACAAAATTGTATTCACAACGGCTTGGCTCTGCCACGGAGGTAATTTTTTGATAAAGTCCACATTTAAACTCTACCATAGCAGAACGTTGTGGACCGTTCCAGCAAGCAGCTCCATGAGCATACTTCTGTTTTTGGTACTTTTTATCACCTTCACCGAACCACTTTTCATATCGTCCCAACGTTGTTTCCAAACCACCCCTTTGTTGTTTTTGTGAAGCTCGTTCGAAAGGACAAAGTGAATAAACATACTCCCGATCTTCATATGTGAAACATTCACCATCTAGTGCTGCGTACTCTTCATTGGGTCCGTAATCTTTAGCTTCTTGATCTGCAATTTCTTTAATCTCATTTTCAATCTGACGAATGCTTTGTTCTGCTTCGGTGTAAGCATGCCGCGCTTCATTTGCCAAGTCAACCAGGCGTTTGGTCTCTGGATCGTAGTCTGGCTCAGACTGTGGTGCATCCGCCACACTACCGACCCCAACATCAGCTTCGCCTTCTTCATCCTCATATAGCTCTTCTTCCCCATCGGCACCTTCCCCAACGCCTACTTGTTCATGACCTTAGTGAGATAGGTAGTAGGTATTATATTTCTAATGAAAAAAGGTACATATATATTTTTTTAAATCCATTTATTTACCTTCTTCGATTTCGTGTTCTAATTCTTCTCTCGCGGTTTGCTCTTG